ACCAATTTTCAGTGGGGAGGCAAGGGTGGGAAGTGTGAAAGGAGATAAGTACCTAGCCGGAAATACATTTTCAGTACAGAAAAATTATAACTTCCGATATGGTACATTACCTCTTCTCACATAAATTGCTAGAATCCCATATCAAGGGAAAGAAAGAAGCATCCAAATCATACATTATTTATTAAACTCAATCCCAGAAAACATAAAAGTGGGTAAGATTAAAGGATGTGCCACTAGGTGCAGAGTGGCTAGAGTGTGATGGACCATACATGGCAAGTCAACTACATCCAAAACCCATGCCATTAAAATCTGACATCCATGCAGAGATAGGAAAGAGGATCATACCATCGGTAAGTCGACTTCAATCTGAAACTACCAGGAACTGACATCCAAGTTAGGGTAGAAAAGAGGACCATACCAGTGACAAGTCTGCTACAATCCAAAATCCAGCCATCTGGTAGGGGTAGGAAAGAGGATCATACAGTCTTTACCTCAAGTTCATGAGACTGGAAGTAATCTCATACCCCCTGACCCATGAATGGGCACATGATAACAATGTGAGAAATTGAATGATTGATCCAGCAACCTGACATCAAAAAGATGTCTGCATAATTTAAACTATCTCACTCAAATATATAATGACCAGTAACATCCTCAGAATAATAACCATTGAGGGGTAGCATAATGGGAAGAACTGTAGTAATCTGCAAATACCTTCACCATGACCCATAACACATAGACCAGTTGAGAAAAAGAACTGACCGTAAGACCCTATTAGCGGAGGAAAGTAGACAAACACCCTAAAAGCAAAGAATCCACATGTGCAGGGAACAAAATGAAGATGACAAACACCCAAACATGGATGGAAAGAGGAGGTATCCCACGAAAATCCCTAAATATAAGTGGAACACTGAAGAAAGGAGATGGAAGGTAAATGTTAACTGTAGGAGTGTTGATATGGTAAAACGTAGTTAAAAAACTAGGTAGTGGATAAAATGGATAGGATTAACAGAGATGTGAATAACATAAAATCAGGAAGAAAATCTACCTGATGGTAAGATAAAGCAAAAAGAATTAAAGCCTGTATAGGCTAGGCTTGCAAGTACCCACTGAGAAGAGGAATATACTAGTGAAATGTGTCTTAAACAAAAATAAATGAGATAGGCCTTGCAAACTCAGCAGTTGAGGCCTGGAAGGCAATCCATGATAAGGTGGAGGAAAACTGACAAAATCTAGGTCATCTGAAAATGGGTTCAACTGTTACAGGAGGAAGGCGAGCAACACTAGGAGCAGGTATGGTGGACCCTGGCCCCCAGATGCCATCACAAATGAAATTAATGGTAAGAAGTACAAACTATAGAGAAAGACGAAAATTAAATTGTCGGTATAGTGGAAAATATTAAGAAATTATGTAGTGAAATAAACATATGTATGTGATGTTATATGTTGAAGAAAAGATATTTAACCTAACTATTGATTAACCCATAAATAGAACCATGGATAAATTGAAAATAACAGACACTTTGTAAGCCGAATCGAACAAGATATTTAACCTAATTATTTATTAACCCAAAAGAAGAACTACAGGTAAACCAGAAATAACAAAAACTTGTGAAGCCAAATTGAAAAGTACAGAACAAAAGGTATTACTAAGCACTAAAATAAAAAGTTAACTACTGAAAAATTATTCAAAAACCATAACAGTAGAACATCTTATCTTTCCAAAATCTGCGGACTGTATTTCAACATGTGGGACCCCAAACTCGAGGTGAGGCCTAACAAAAGTCAGTTCACAGGATGACCAATCTCCTCATGAAGTAAAGCCAAAACTTTTCTTGCAGAGTACTACGACCTGAAGCCTGTGTAAATGTGCTAATAGAACATATAACCTCCAAAGTGTTAACGTAGAATTCATAATGCAAAATGAATAACCTAACACAACTATGTTAGCAGAAACAAATAAAAAAATTTTGTAATGAAACATAATTGGTTAAAAATATAAAATAATTCGACCTCGGAATAGCTCAAGTTAAAAATACCGTTACTGTATAATAAAGAGTAAACTTGTTCAGAGAAATTGATACACAAATATGGAAAAAAATTAAAATAAAACACTTGAATAGAGCCCAAACTAAACGTTATAACACGAGTACTGCCAAATGAGAAGTGATTGTTCTGTAGAATTAAATGGAGGGAGTCACATGCATCAAGAGTGTGTGTAGTGCTCTTATTGGTGGAGAGTTGTCACATGATAATTTGCATGCAAGACGCATTGGAATTAGTCAATTCCAGAAGGGTGGGAGTTTCAAGGCTTGTGGTGTGTGGAAAAATTGTTGCATATAGAGAGCAGAACTGAACGAAAATAGCTATTTAAATAACGTTTTTCAATTTACAATAACTAAGTGAATTTATCATCAATTGAAAATTCAAACCAAAAACATTAACTTCCATATCACTTAGAAATTGTATTGGTACCAGAAGTTAAAGCTGTATTTCAACTGGAATATCTTTTCTTGTAATTACAAATGGCATCTTAAAAGGTTATTTCTTAAATACTACAAACCAAAGCTTCTGAAAGCATATTCTACTCCAGCCTAAGGGAATGATGTCACTGATACAATGGTAATGCTGATTGAAATGTTTGGAATTTGTGTATGTGTTTATAGAAGAGATATGACTGTTGAAAATGTTCTCTAAAAAAACTTTCATATTTGTCCAACTGATTAATTTTTTTAAATTGCACAAGTTTGCTAGTGTTGTGTATAAATAATCTTCAAGTGTTTTAGTGGTTTTGAATGCACTTGTCAAAAAAAAAGTATCAGTAGATTCCATGGACTTGCAAATCTGTGAAGTTCAATTAACTTAGTATAAATTAAAATATGTTTGAAATATTTAATTATTCAAGGAGGAAATAATGTGAATTTCAAAAAATGTTTTAAAAATTTAGGTGCTTGAGTAAATGGAAATATTTTTATAGAATACAAGATGTTTTTTTATTTAAATAAACAGACGGAAACAAGAAGAATTCTGTCTGATTCATTAGTATTGTTGGTTTTTAGAGCAATGTCATATCAAGTGTTCTTAAGTTTATTCAATCTGTCCATTAATTCAACTCTTCACAATCTCCTTGTACCTTGGTTTGTTTTAGTCTCTGGAGTTTCTGCAACCCAAATCTTGAATATAAAGCACTTTACTGAAATTGATATTCTACTTAGTAAGAGAAAGATGGTAGCCTTTTGTGGTCTCTCAGATGTTTTTTTGTACAAGTTAGTGTGTAGGTTTTTTTGTTTCTTTAAAAAGAGACAATAACATTAAAGAAATTCATTCAATAGAGTAATAACCTAGGGTAAACTTGAAAATTTTTGAGGAAGAATTTGTCATAAGATTCAAAATGATTCAGTACTGGCTATCCAAATAAGTAAATTGTCATCAATTGTATAGCATTTCTTCTAGTCACGGAATTGCTTTGTTGTTACCTATTACTTTTAACTCAAGACCACTCATGTATTCTAAGTATAATTCCCAGCATTCCAACTCAAGAATAACTTAAGATAAGTGTTTCATGAAGTTCCTATTGTTTTCTTCTAGAAGAACAAATATCTCAAAGATACTGTAGTTCATGTTAAAGTTAATTACACTTCATCACAGAATGGTTGTCACCTTTGTAATAAAGCGGGTTCATGAAAAATACCAGTTTTTTTTTCAGTTACATACAATCAAAACCCACTTTAAAATTACAAAGGAAATTACTTGCACAACATTATTTACTTCACAGTGTAAACAGATTAGCCATCAGTAACTTGGATAAACACAAACTATTCAACAACCATAAATATTTTATCAACACTAAAAATGACCTTTTCTCTGCTCAAAATTTTGACCAGCATGAATATTTGACCAGTTAGGTATCCAAACTGATTATATAACTAAAGCAGATAAAAGAAACAGAGGCCTTTGTCACTTTGAATACTATTCCATTTATCTCTGTAGAACTAATCTTTAGTCTAGAATCAATGATCTTTGATCTTTAATTAGTTCTCTGTCAAATAAAATTAGATTTTGTTTTCACACATTTAACTTATTTTTACATAAAAGATGTCTGTTTTATTTAATTTATCTTTTACTAATTTCAATTTTTTCTTATTAATAATTTAAATTAATTTCCTATCAGACTGATTATTTTTTTTATCTTTTATTTACCTAATTATTCTCATTCACCTCTTTGTAATCTTTATTTCTGTACCCTTTTTTGTGTTATGTTATTAGCACCCCCTTTTATTAGTTTCCACATCATTAACTTTTGCATTTTTTGTTTCTCCAGTTCTGCCAATTACTAATAGCTATGGTTACACAATTTTTTAATCTATTCCTGTTTTTTCATACACTAAAAATCTGACACACATGAAACTTTCCCAATGGAAGACAACTAAACACTTTTGTGATGTCATGATGATCTGCTATAGATACATGACATCAATGAAAATCACTTGACTATCTTTCGCAGTTTACACTACCTACTAATACAAGATGAATGGTCATCAATGATTTTGTAAAAATAAGTTGGTATTCAACATATTCTTTTAAACCAGAGACAGTTGGAAAAGAGCACTGTTGATTATGCTATTAGTTGAATGATGGTAAAAATCAGATATGTATATTATATTGCTTCAGTTTCATAGATCAATTTATTTATACTATGTTTTAAACTATTTCAAAATGTATTTAGCAGTAAACAGTATTTCTGTAAAACTGTTCTGGGTAAAAACAGTGCTTAACCACACTTGTTACACTGCGAAGTAATGAGTGAGTTAAGAATTTAAATTACCAGTCAAGTTCTGGGAATTTGTGGCAGAAACTAGTTGCACACATGAATATCTGTTTGTGGGAAGCTGGAGAGGCAGAACTGAAGCAGATGTGGGCACTCTTGGTGTGATCTGTTTAGTAATGAGACTTCTTTGGGAAGATGAACTTGGTGCAACAAGTCTAAACTGACTCTGTGGCATTGTACTCGGTGCTGATGATTTTAAAGTGGTCTGAAAAATATAAGAAAATACAATCCTTTACAATTTGAAAACCCCACCATATGAAGACATTAACAATTTTCATTATTGAAAGTTAATAATGCGTACTAATAAATAAAAAAATCTTCATTTGAGACTTTAAATTGTATTTAAATATTTAGCTTTCTTCATTGAGAAATATGTTTTATAGAATTTATATAATACATACAATTCCTTACATAACAATTTAAAAAATTACACGTACAAAAACTACAGGTTTAAGCATGATTTTTTGAGGTGAGTTTGGCACCAAAGATTGTTTGGATATAAATAATTCAGCCTTAGAGGTTGTAGATTCATGAGCAATAATTATTTTAGAATTATTCACTGCAGTATCAGCAGGAGCAATTTTCTGAGGAAGCCTTGGCACAGACATTGGAATCACTGCATTCTTTGAAGGGGACAGCATATACACCACCTATAATAAAATATTGTGAATATTTATAAAATATTTGCGAAATAAAACATAATGCAACAATAAATTAATTTATAAAGATTTCTAGAATACAGAAAACTGTTTAATAATTACCTTAATAATAAATCTACAGATTAACTATTAACAGAGAATTTATACAGTGGGTTTACATCTTTTGACAGCATATACATTTTGTGTTCTTTTCCTCTCAAAAACCAGGCATCTTGATCTTAAGAATAAAAATAGGACACAAGTGCAACTTTTAAACAGAAAGTAATCATTTCAAATTTAAATTATATGCATCACCAAACACGGTTACAGCACACAGTCTTGCATCACTTGTTTGTAATCTCTTATTAACCAAAATCTCAAAAGTAAGATTATAGTGTTACTATGCACCCTCATCAAGATAAACCACATTTTAACACAGATGATGGAGTACTGTCAAGGTTAGAAACAAACATAAATTAAAAAGAAAAAATATTGTTTAAAATGCTAACATATTTAATAATGCTTGACAATGTTTACCTACTCACTGCTAATAATGGGAATAATTCCACAATAAATAAGATATATTCATAGCAGTACAAGTTTATCTTTTAAGACTTTTTACATGATGTTCTGGAAATGGCACAAATACAGTTACAAAAAAAAAGTTACTAAATATTCTGAGGAGTATAAGAATTAGGAAATGCTAGGTTGACAGAAGCACATTTGCAATGGCTAGTGTATTTTTGTGACCAAAAAATAGCTAAAATCTGTTAACCTAAGTTGGCTCAAAATAACCATCTACACTTTATGTACCTTTGAAAGATTAAATTTCTTAATAAAATAATGAAATACACCTTTAAATTGAACACATTATATATATAAATAGGTCACAAACTATCGATTACATTAATTGTTAATAGGTGATTACATCAGCACTATAAAACAATAATGAATTACATGTCGCATTACTGTTATCCGTCCAGGTTGTCAACTTATTGTCCTAATGGATAATATCTGTGGTAATAGCACCCAAGTGCATTGTGCATATCCCATCTATCAGACAAAATCCAAATGCTGATGTCAATCTAGTCGATTGTCATGGAAAAAATCAAATAAAGAATACGAAGCTGAGTGCTTACACCAATAACATCTCAACTTCTACTGCCTTTTAGTATCTACAGCCAGTTTTGGGAAGGCAGTTACCCTTAAATTTCTTACAGTAGAAGTGAACTGAAATGAAGCCATCCAGAAAGGGAAGAAGAACAGGGGTTCTAGGGTATAAACTGACAATGACAGGGACCCTGAAAGGGAGAAGTGCATGATAGGTATCATTGCACAGCCTATCCGGGTCCAAAAAAATGTAAGAGTTAGAGATAAAAGAATGAGATATAGGAGGGAAAGTGTGGTTACCTTCCCAAGCAGCAGAAGTCATGGAAAGGAAAGACCAGTCTGGGTAGGGGAAAATGTAAGTGTGGAAGAAGAGGGTATGAAAAGAACTGGTTACAGATGTCTGAACAATGGTGACCATAAGCAGGAAGGAGGAGGAAAAAAGTCTCGAAAGAAACGTTGTATAAAAAGTAAAAAGCCAACGGCTCAAACATGTCACATGTGAGAGCATGCAAAACTACAATAAGTTCCCAGTTGGACATGGAAGTCAGGCGAGAAGGTCGGTGAAGAAAGAGTAGAAAAGATTGGAGAATACTAGGGATAAAAACACCCAGTGGTACAAAGAAAGGCAAAAGGTAGTGGATAATGCTACCCAAAAACCAGCAATGGTGAAAACTGACAAAACAATGTCAAACAACTAAGTACAAAATGTAAAAAGGTGGTCAACAGTGGGAGAGACAGAAGGAAAAGGAGCAAATGGACCAACAACAACGGACATGCCACTTACATTGATAGACAAGAAAATGGAAGGGTGAGAGGAATGTGTCAAGTAAAATACAAAAAGGAAAAAGAAATTCTCCAACCAGAAATGTGGAATGACCAGAAAACAACTGAGATGAGAGGTCAATTACTAGACAGTCTCCCATCTTCGTTGGGCCACAAAGAGATGAGAATAAAATCCCAGAGAAAAGCAATGTGCACTCTCGATGCCATTTGGCCAAAAGATCTGACACAACCTCCTCAAGAGACTGAAGATAGACAGGATCAGAGGGAGGAGAAAAGGATGCAGAAAGTGGGTAGAGAAGTAGAGAGACAGACCATGGGTGAGGACTTGAAGAACCAATATTTGGTAGAAAACTGTGACCAATGTTTTACAAACTGAGACAGATGACTACCTACAAGTCCCAAACCAACAAGATAGTCACTGACAAGACGTGAGACAGACTTTATGGCAGGCAGTGGGAGAGACAGGAAGAGAAGGAAGGTCTGGAAGGTGAAGGGTAGACTGACCTGGTTGAGGAACAGGAGTTGAAAGGCAAGGTTGAAAGAGGTGAGAAACCAAAGAAAGGAACGAGGACTGGTGCACGGGTCTCTAGTGCATCAGGAAAACCACCAGACAACATGGCAAGAAAGAGCCTGACAAAGATCACTCAGACAGGATAATGGGTAGGCATATGTTTGTATGGAGTGTGTCCCTACCTAATAAGTAAGCAGGGATAGAGCAGAAGAAGTGGTACAGGCCATAATGGTAAAAAGAATGGATTGAAATTCCCTTGAAAACTCACCTGGAAAGAGAAGTAATGAAGGGTGATGAGAAAAAGACAAAGATGTGAAAAATTGAGCAATGACAAGCAAAACAGAAGTTAAGGGTTTTGCTCTCCAAGCAGGTAATAGAGATTCCAAAGATCGAGAATCAAGAAAGGAAAAAAAAATGACTATGCCAGGACATAAGAATCAGAAAGATGAAGAGGATGAGGCATATGGTGACAGTTAAAAAGCTGTTAAAGGAAGGAGTCAGAATGAACCCAAATGTCAGATGCAGGGGGAAAGACCAAATAATCATAAGGATTAGGGTCATGTAGCAAACATGAAGAACCATAAAGCACAGGTGAAACAGGAAGGAACATTCCTGAGAGATCAAGTCCTGATAGTTCTGAAGGCTAAAAACTTTCTTTGACTGGCAGAGAAGGGAATAGACAATCAAATTCATCTTCCTCCTTTTCAAACTCAAAATGAGGGGGAAAGGAGTGTTGGAAGAATGAATGAGAACAAAATGCCTAGTATGCACAATGGACCTCAAAAATTTTGCACAAGAATCATGACATCCTCCTCAGTCAACAATCCTCCCCTCAATGCTATAGTAGAGATACAGTCTGTGTGAGTAATATCACCATTCAAACAGAACAAAGTAGAAGCCACTGTCACTTGAGAATTTATTACGATAAAGCTGTGAAGACAAAAGCTAAAGTATAACAAAAAAAAGTTTTGTTAATGAAACCAAGTATCGTCAATTTGAAGCCAGACAAACACTGAACACATATACGTTAAATGGACACTAAAGACAATACTTAAGTACTTTTAGATCCTTACAGTTGCAAGCTTAATAAATGTAAACTGTTTCTCACCTGCTTATTTGGACTTTTTTGAACTGTTTGAAGAACCTGAGTAGAAAAACTAGTGGATTTTTGCTTAGTAAGAGGAACCATTTTGGCAGGACTTCCACCCAACAACACAGTTTGAGAAGATATTGGCAGGTGTTGGCTTGATGGAACCAACATTTCTGTTGGAATCCCTAGGTTTATTTCCTTTTCTGCTAATGCACCTGTCTGCTGAGCTGACCCAATGCTGCTTAGAAAATCTTTGCTAATCACTTGTACACTTTCCTTATTGGAACTTAACTGTTTTACATTACTAATGGACTGCATACTTAAACCGAGAGATTGTGTAAAGACAATCTTAACATTGGAATTACTCAATGATGTTGAATTAACATTTTGATCAGTAGTTCCAAAGCTCTCTGTGATATTCACTGAAGAACTATCATCAGATAATGTTACAATGCTATTAGGAGGTCTTTGAACAAAAATAACCTGTTGCTTGCTAGATAAAGCAGACATACTCTTCTCTTCATCAGGAACTGTAACTGTTTTTGCCATGATACATGTACTACTATTTTTGTTCCTATAAGAAATCACTCTTGCATCACTCTGTTGCATAGATATTTTAGCAGTATACAAGTTGCCGTCATCAACCTTTACTGTACCTGATAATTCAATAATCATCACAGTTTCTAAGAGCTGGGTAAGTTAGTCATTTAGTAGCATGTGAATAAATCCATTAGGATTTTTATAAGCTGTTTTTTCTAAAAACAAAACTCAAACAACTGGAGAAGAAAATGTGCATTAGGTGGCATGTCTATCTCCTTATATCATCTGGCATTTGCTGTCTGAAATATAAAATATAATGGTTTATAGACAAGTAATATACAAATTATTGACAGAATAAAAGAAGTAACTGCTATTTCCTTTATGTGTACATGTGCTTTAACTGATAATATGATTTTGTTACTTTAATATTCAACCCTATCAAGTGGTAAATGGCTTATTGGTACTTTATCTGAAAACCTCTGTATTTCTTAAAAATTAAAATTCATGATTTACATTAAAAAATAGAATTTTTTATTTACAACTTTAGCAGATGCTATTAAACTTGTTATACTAGGTTTTACTACATGTGCATGACACATCTAGTCTTGTGTTTTTTCAGTTTAGTAATTTATATAGTAAAATAGATTATGTTAAAAAAGAAAATTATTACACCACAACTGATTATTGTTCAGACCAATATGTACGAAACTTGTGTTGCTTCAAAACTTTATTTTCATTGTTCAGTGTTCACCCTATAACCACATATGCTACAAAAGTAACAGAACACAGTAGATGTAGCTGACACAGAAGCTCGTCTGAGTTAAATACTTTGCAAAATCACATTTTATTAAAAAAAAGGGAAATATTTAGATACAGTTTCAAAAATGGTTGAAATACATAATGGAAAATAATAAAATAATATCGAAAAATCAATAAACCAAAAGACACACAAGGTGTTAGAAATGGGTATTGTGAATAACCCTAAAGCAAGAAATTTCTTTGGTCATTTAATAAAACAATCTATCTGAATGGAAAAGAAAATTGAGTACAAGTGTCAATATCAAAACATACCTTAGGAACACTAATAAAAGAACAAGCTATGTACTATACCACAAGCTTTTGCCTGGAAACTATTCACTACCTAAACAATGAAAAAAAAACATATAAAAAGTCTCCACAGTAAAGCACACACAGTTTTTAAGAGTAATCCTAAGTGATCCATCTAAAACCCATAACAGATGAGACACTGAATAGAAACTATCTGTGAAATAACATCAATGAACATAAACATTCAACCAATTCAATAAATGCTATGGCTTTTCACACATCTAATAATAGTAAATATGTATTGTAAAGGCCAGTGAAAGTGTGTACAGTTCAAAATAAAAGAATAATATATAAATCAGAGCTGAGCCTACATAGATTTCTTTCCATCAGGAAAAAAAACCAGGTGAGAACCACTTGCCTAAAAGCATCACATGTGCATCAGTAATCTGTGTAGGTGGTGAATATATGTAAACAAAAAATGTTAAAATCCTGAAGAACAATTAACATCTAAGCTTTTAAAAGATAGACCTTTCTTCATCAGGGTCCCTAATTAAGAAAGATCTACACCTTTTCAAAACACTAGTATAAGGTTTTTTATTTTTGTCTGATTTTTTTAAACTCTGTTTTCCTAACATTATAAGTGTTAGCAAAGGTGTATGAAGGAATTCTACTTGCCAAGCAAGAGACAGTGAGATGTTCAAGTATAAAACTTCTAGTACATTTAAAATTTTAAAAGGGAAGTCTGCAGTATATAGGAATGTTGAATATACCATTTCTTTTCCTTTTCTAGTTGACAAGTTAATGTGTCTTGTTCACCAAAAATGTTCAAATTTTTTAGGTTTTGAAGAGATTTGACTAAATTAGTGTAGTTTAACTTACAAACAGTCCTTAGTCATTCTCCCTTTGGTATAACAAGCATTTTTTCATGGAAGAAATTGCTGATGTATACTTAATTGAAATACACTACATATGTAAGTACTGATCTTAATCATTTACGAGTCTTGTGATACCTTCAGGACATATCCTCCCTGTAAACTTTTCAGATAATGCTAATATATTAGGTATATAATCACTGTACTCTTTCAGACAAAACAGTTTATCACAGCATACCTTGAGAACAAGACAGTGAATTTGATAATCTCATTTTGTGACCAGAAGGTACCACCAATTGTATAGTGCACTCATCACCTTTGATTATTTTTTATTCTAATAAGGATTATATTGCACTTTCTTTATATAATGTCAGTCTCATTCTTTCTTCAACTCAATCACTGTACGTAATTGATAATACCCCAAGTACATCCCATGACAGAAAATCAGATATTTTTCAATGAATGTTTCTAACATTATGAATATGTACTAAGAAGATGAACTATTCATGCATAGAAACAAACAAACCAATACACAGCACAGTAGTTTATAAGGCTCATAACACTAACAAGAAGACAGATATGGTAGATTAATCAATGTATACACACAAGTCATGTTTCCTAGTACTTAGAGCCTCGAGGAAGAAGGCATGATCTGGATAGAGAAAATGAAAATATTGTTAGAATAATGTCCTTAATATTTCCATTAGGAATAAGTTGAGTGCTAAAGAGATGAAATAAGCCTTCTGAAAAAATGCTCAAAATTAACAGTCACATAAGTTGAACTCATACAAAGAAAGAATATTTCAATACAAGTTTAACATTTTAACCAAGCAACAACCAACATTTCAAAGTTAGCTGTATCCTGACAAACTTGAAACCACAAGGTAGGTGGAAATGTATTTTGGGGGATGAGGGAGAAGCTTGGTATTCTAAGAAAAACATACTAACAAAATAAAATTAAAGATGCCACACAAGAAGATTATATCAAGAAAAATTACATTAATTCCACACATACAATTAGATTAGAATAATGAATTATAGTTAATCAAAGGTCTCGTGAAAAAACAGGAAGGACTTCACAAGAGTTTCCCACTGTTATTTAAAATACCCACAGATGTGATTAAGAGTAATGTAAAAATAGATCCAGTGAAAGATCATTCATCAATTTTGTTGGTAATCTGGATCTGAAGACCAATAAACTGAGTTTGACAATCAGATATGTGGAAAAGTAATTCAAGAACAGTAGTTTCCAAATTTTAACATAAATACTAGATCACTAAAATGTGCAGAAAGAGCACCATGGAAAGAGTCTTGTCTGAACATAATAGCTTATATACCGGGATGTTTGAAACTCTTGGAAGAACATAATATGCCAGTTCTGTCTGTCTATATATGATCTATATGTGCTGTGAAATGGTGCCATATGATAAAAGAACCATATATTCTGAAAATATTTTGAAGTAGCCATATATGGATAGTAATCCCAAGTGATAAATTCCCACCTCATCCATCACTCTTAAGTAAACTCTGGTAGTAAGAACCAAGGACACACACTGCAAACCAGTGATGCTTATAATGCTTCATTTCATTTTGAAAGATTACAAAAATAGATATAGAACACATGCATTTCAGGTACATTAACCTCATTCTGGAACAATCACACAGTACAGCTTCCTAGAAAGAAAGATGGTATTTGTGGTTGACTGGTTATTCCTGTAATGTATCATTCTAAAAGAGGGTTCCAGTATGACAAAAGAAACTTTGTTGGGAATGGTAGGGCATCAGAAAAAATTAGCTGATTGCCTGGATATTTCTGGAATGTAGAAGATGAGAGAGAAATAATTTGGCTGATTGACTGGAAACTAGTGGGAGAAGTGACATGATGAGTAGATAAGTCTCTTTAAGAGATGGCCAAAGCATCAAGGTTAGTATAAAAACAACAGATCTCCAATAGTATGTCTATGTAAAAGAAAACATTTTCTGAAGCACCCAGGTCACCTTAGCTGAATCCCTATACGGCAACTCTAGTGTCAGCAAGTCATATTTCACACACTGTATCAAATGGTGCTTAGTACACAGTTTAAAGCCAAATTGTGATTGTGTACTAATAAGTGTGATTGTTTAAACCTTAAATATGTGACTTCCATACAAGTGCTTTCAACAGTATAAATTTGATATCTAAAAAAAAATTATTGACAGGTTTTCTTACTTCAAAGATAATAACAACAAACCTGTCTTGGGCAAACAGGAAAATTATCTCTATCAATATTGAAGGGTACTCAAGATAAATGATATATTGTGAAAAATTTATATACAACTTCAGCACATGGTTATCCAAATCACCACATTTTGTACCAAAATATAAAAGGTTTAAACAAAAATGCTCCTGATAATGGGAGAACAGAACTATTATATTAAATCTAATAAATACAGAATGCACAATACCATATTACTACATACAAAATGGAGGTCAGTCTCAAGAGCAGAACTTGAAACTACAGTTCTACCTTGCTGGAACTATACACGTATGTACTTCTTACTGAATCAAAGAACTGAGATTTAAAAATAAGCATTCAGAATGCTTTATATGGGTACAGTCAGAAAAGTTTTGGTTATTGTTTCTGCACCAGACAAATTCAAATATTGTTCACAGAAGAATCTACTGGTACGAAAAAAAAGCCAAAACTTCTTAATGGCACATTAAGTATCAGCAAAAAAAAATGGAAGTTGCTAAAATGTATAAAAAGCAACCTCCACCTCAAGTGCACATTACAAACAGTATAAAAAATATAAAGTAACATCATACAAAATATTCACAATGAATCAAGAAATCTTGATTCCACTTCAAAAGGACAATATGATGGAAAGGTTGCTTTATAAAAATGTTTGATGTTTTAGTTCACTGTGACCACCAAAAAAACTTTGAAAGCTAACCAAATCTTTTCCAACGTGATGGGGAAGTTGCATAACTTCCAGAACAGCATTTCTAATGATAATCCACAACATAAGACAATCTTGATGTAAAGAAAACCAATGCTTAGAAACAATCTTACTGCCTGCAGAAAACTTTTTTTTCACAGTAGCTGAGCTATTCTGTTAAAAGCTTAGCTGAAAATAACAGCCAAATTTAACTTCATGGTGATTGTCAATGAAGAAACAGGATCCCTTTCCTGTTCACAGGAGAAATTGAAGGTAACAACATGGGATCAGAA